GGGGAGGTGTGGCTGCTGGCAGGGGAGGTGTGGCTGCTGGCGGGGAGGTGTGGCTGCTGGCAGGGGAGGTGTGGCTGCTGGGGCCCTGCCCCGCGCAGCCGCACTGGGGTGCTGGCGGAGAGGCCTGGCCTGATGGTTCCAGCTCAGCATCACCGAGACTCGAACCGACTTTGTATGAAATGGGCGGAGGCTCCCGGGACCTGCTGGGGCCCTGGGAGAGACCTGGAGGGCAGCGGCCACGCCCGCGTTGGGTTGGGAGTCTCCGAGCCCAGCCTCTGCCTTCTTCTTCTTCAAGACCCAACTTTGCTTACAGAGACCAAGAAAGGATTCCTGTAAGGATTTTTTCTAAAACAATTGCATTTCTCTGCTGGGCCACAAGCCGCTTCCTGTTTTCTGAGTGGTTTATCGGAGATAAGACTCTCAGAGTTTCCTGCCCGGCCTGGCTTTGAACCACACTCGGACCTCAGCCTCCTGAGTAGCTAGGATGACAGGCGTGAGCCACGGGCGCCTGCTGTTTGTTTGTTTTTAATACTCATTAAAGATTAGGATTACAGCTGGGTGCCAGTGGCTCCTGCAGATAACCCCAGCTACTCAGGAAGCTGAGGTCTGAGGATTGTGGTTCAAAGCCAGCCTGAGTCAAAGTCTGTGAGACTCATCCAACTAACCATCAATAAGCTGGAAAGGGTGCTGTGGCTCAACTGGTGGAGCACTAGCCTTCAGCTACAGGGCTCAGGGACGGTGACCAGGCCTGGAGTTCCAGCTCCAGGACCAGCACACGCACATACGCACACACACACATGCACACATACGCAACACATGTACACATGAACACACATGTGCATGCACACACGCACACACATGCACACACACATGTGCACGCACACACGCACACACATGTACACACGCACATACGAACACACATGTGCACACACATGCACACACGCACACACATGTGCACACATGCACACATGCACACACACACAATGCACACATGAACACACATGTGCATGCACACACAGATGCACACACGCACACACATGCACACACACATACACAGAGATTAGGATTATAGTGTTTTTTTCTAAAGCAATGCATGTGATAGATCTGAAAGTTCTGGAAAGAATCGTTTCCTGTTTTAGAAGGAAACACTCAAATCCCCATTGCAATGGCCCAACATCAACCGTCTGCGCCCAAGAGGAATATAGAGTGAGCAGAACCAGGGAGGCTGGGGTTGGG